ACAATCTTGAGATCAAAATTTGACGGACTTTACAAAATAATGAAAAAAAGTACAACGTGTTTAATATCGTCTGCATTTACACTCGAACGCGTTCTATCTCGTATTGAAGAAGCTATTGATGCATGCAACTTACATAATGACTTGCGCTTCCGCCAGTTACCGGCGGAATTCGGCGGCTTGGTTGGCCCGACTCGGGATCGAACCATAATCACGTTGAGTCACAGCGGCGCCTCATACCAATACGCCACTCTTCCCACCACCTCCCTTTACGATGGGCAGACTATTGAAGGCGGTGGCTCGGGAAAATGACGCTAGCTTTCCATTACCACAGCCTTTGGAATCCACTGAGTGACTAGCTTGAAAAACCAAAAAAATGCTTTTTGTGGTGATTTCCGGGGGTTCCTTTCACACCATTAGGGGCACGATAATTTGTTAGTTCCTTATAAGATCCGTTGTTTTCACTTGTTATCAAAAGCATGGCTTGAACGAGTATTTGGATGATTTTCTCCATAGATGACATAACTGTGATTATTTTACTCTATAATCTTATCGTTCTAAGGTGAAAAGTGCAAGAAATCAAATTGATTCAAAAATTTTCAAGAGACTTGTCAAACTCTGGTCCTGAAGAGTCTCTAATACAATTTTGAAGTTTGACGGTGATAGTACAAAAAATCAAATGTGGACAAGGCCAATAGATCATCTTCTGAGCTAGTTTCACCTATCCTGGTGAAACGCAGCTACCTGAGTTCAAATTCTGCAAAAGATCAATAAAATCGATAATCGGTGCACTCGTGATCATTTGAAGTCCGTTACTCTCCAATTTCAACCATCAAAGGAAATGCAAAAAAATCAATAAATCGATTTTGATCAGAAATACCTATCACACATCCTAAAGTGCAAAGCTTCTTTCTGTGGTGCTATTAACTTTTTTGGTACGGAACAGAACAGCGCACGTGTTTGAAACCTCAACTTTTGTAATTTTTTTTCGAGCAACAACTCTAGGAAAATATGTGCAATCTGTATTATCACTACTCTTTTCAATTTTTGCGAATTGACTTGCAAAATACAATGGCAGTAAACACATTTGAAGATGTTCATGAATATTTATTTATATATCAATATATTCAACATAATTTAGATCACTTTTGCTTAGGCACAAAGCCTAAATGCAGGATTTTTCGGATTGTGGATGGACCATTCCACCATCCCTTCACCAAGAAGTTCCAGTAGAGGAATGCCATGAGGTATCGTTTCATAAGGAAGGCGTAGAATCTGTAAAATGTGGTTAAGGATTATGCGAGAACTGGTCCCCAGAGGGTAGGAAGTGAAAAAAAATGTTCTACTAACCCTGGTTTTGCTTGATTGATCGGTAATGTTTCCATTGTTCCTTTAGAGTTGAATTCAGCAAGCATTCCACGATATCTACCCACTATTATAGGACATGATGCATAGCCGTCGTACTGAAATTAATAAAAAATTACTTCTAAGTTATAAGGGGCAGAAGCTTATCACCTTTGCGGGCAATTCTTTTCCTTCCATGGCGGCTGTTAGGTTTTTGCCAATCGTCTTTAGATGGCTGGACACAGCGGCCGCAGTTTTTGCGTTCGGTGTGTTCATACAGTCACCGGCCGCAAAGATGTTGGTAAAGTTTTTCACCTGAATAGAAATAAATGAGAAATAATTTGAATTAAGGCATTATAAAAATATTCTCAAGATTTCAGTTTTTTAGGGCGCGCTAGTGTCTACGAGATAAAGGTAAAGATGAAGATTTCGAAATAGTACAATTTGTTACATCTGCAAGGCTGCGGAAATACCGATTCGTACGCGTCAAATAGAGTTGTAGCATTTATGCGAGAACAGGTCCCCGATCAATAATGTTCCAAAATTTTTGTACGATTCTGGGAATGACACTTGCTTGTTAAGATCTCCAAGTCTATGGTACGGGAACACCGTTTCATACACGCCAAATGAAGTCGCGGCATAGACGCGAGAACTGGTCCCCAACTCAAAATGTTCAAAATTCTGAGAAACTTTTGAAATACTAATACGATTCCTTGTTAGAATTTATTCAGAAACGGAATAACGAAAACGGGCCCGAAGTTGCAATAAATCTGCGAGAAGTGGTCTTCGACTTAAAATGATTGAGAATTCTGAAGAAAATCTGAAGTACGGCACAGTGCTTGTTAAGATGTAACTCTGTGAGAAATAACGATATATACGTGTCGAAAAGTTGCACGTGCAGCGAGAACTGGTCTTTTAATTGGAACTTTAGAAGTTTTGAAATAAACAAGTTTTGAAACAACAATAACAGTAAACAACTTTCTGTCCAGATATCTGACTCAATAGAAAATACCGTTTCACAAATAAAGTTGTAGTGTAGCTTTATACGGAATTGCTCTCCAATCCAAATGTTTGCCAAGTGTTTGCCATGTCTGTTTTGGTTTGTTTGTTTG